CCTTATCTGAGCTTTTTAAATGTATGTTTTTGTGTATGTTTTATAACATACGTATCAGTACAGTAGTACATGTATATAATTCATAAGTAAATATACACACATTGGGAGTGCGTGCTTACTGCTAGGGATGCACAATCCAAAAAGCTTGGAGAGCAATGGTTATTCTGGTTTTCCCCCTACCCATCAATAAATAGGCTCCTCTTTTTGGAGACTCCGTCCCAGAAGCTGCTGGAGCATGCGGGATGTACCCAGCCATGGCCATCGGTAGCAATTCCCTTTGGTTCTGGTACACACGGGCAGAGGTTTGATCTTCTGAACGCTCAGAAGAGGCAGGCAGGTGAAAGACTAACAATTGTCAAAGACATTTAGTGGTGCAGAATTAATTATTTCCCCCCCTCGCCTGTTAAACTGAGGAGAAGATGGGAAGAGGAGGGACAGCTCTGATTTCTGTGAGAAAAACTGCTTTTCTGGACTCGCCCTCTTGTGCACCCAGGAGAGGGACCTTAGCTTTTCCTGGCGGTGCAGATGCTGTTAGCACTCCCAGGAAGCACATTCTTACCCATCTGCCTGTGTAAACAGATTAACCTCTCTCCAAACCCACAATTACAAAGGAATTTTTAAATGAGGGCAGGCATGAATGCAAGATGCATTCAAGATGCAGCACCACCAGCAAAGCTCCAAAGCTCCCATTTCCCTGCTGGGATGCTCCAGCTCCCTCAGCACAGACGAGTCCTCCACAGGCTCCATCTCTCCCAAAAAGCACTCCCCCTGCCACCACACAGGACCCCCTGTCTCCCCCGCAGCGATGAGCATCTGCCTGGGTTCGACATGAAGGAGGCCTTGCACCTATCGATTTTAACTAGAAAGCTGTCATTTGGCTTTGCTACCCGAAGAACGGGCCAGTGTTGGGTTTCTAACACTGCAAGCCCTTCAAGTTATCTTCCTGTGCTGCAGGTACACAAAGAAAAACGACTGGCATAAAAATCCAGCTGCGCACAATGCGTGGGATGCAGGACTGGACTGCTTTAAGATGCTTTCTGCCCACGGTGGCGTGCGGTCCGCCGGTGCCGGCACTGCTGCTGCCGTTCTCGCACTGGGCTGGCTTCTTGTGTTTCACAAGGACTTCGAGCACGATTTGGTTCAGGATTGCAGAAGTGTGTGGGTTGGCATTTTCTGTGCTCTTCCCACTGAAATTATGGTTGGAGATGCAAACAGTCACAAAATGCCTCCAGAACACCGAACCAGCATCCCAAACGTGGTGGCGCTCAAGCATCTTCTCTGATGTTCCCAATCAAAGCAAAAATTAACACTTTTCCTATTCTGTCTTGCATATGGTCACTTATTGCCCGAATTCCCTTCAGGGCTCCATTTACAGTGTGAGACGCCACTTACCCTCCTGAGCAGGAATCTCTTGCGTGCTTTTAGCTCCTACAGGTTCATTTCATCCCACGAGGACTGTGCTGCCATGGTGTGTAAACTGATGCCAGTACATTGCTTAAGATATTTAAGATAATTTCAGGATTAATGGTGGTGTTAAAAACCCCCGATACAGAAGAGCAAAGGAGCAGAGTGGGGGCTACAGAGTACCCTCTCCTGGGGGTGCTGTAATCAGCAATAAATGCATCAACACTGCATCAGTATATTTCGGGGGGGGGAATATTTAGTTTACAGAAACAGCTTCCAGGTTTCTTTTCGCTCATAAAAAGTGGCCTTGTGACTTATCCCTGTATCCTATCCCCACCACTGGCCAGCACAGGGCATTACTGCTTCTAACTCAGGGCAGCACAAGTGGGAAGCTGCGGCACGGGCTGCACAAGGTCAGCAGTGGCTCTGGGGTGACCAGCTGCCTCTCCAAGCCCCCGGCACGGGCTGGGGACAGGGCAGGGTGCACTGCAGCTGAGCGGCTGAGGGAGCTGGGGTTGTTCAGCCTGGAGAAGGCTGAGGGGAGACCTCATCACCACCTACAACTGCCTCAAGGGAGGTTGTGGAGAGGTGGGTGCTGGTCTCTTCTCCCAGGTGATGGGGGATAGAACAAGGGGAAACGGCACCAAGCTGTGCCAAGGGAGGTTCAGGTTAGAGATAAGGAGGAAGTTCTTTACTGAGAGGGTCGTCAGAAGCTGGAACAGGCTGCCCAGGGAGGTGGTGGAGTCACCATCCCTGGATGTGTTTAAGGAGCGGGTAGACGAGGTACTTAAGGATATGGTTTAGGGGGTAGACAGGTACGGTTGGACGTGATGATCTCAGAGGTCTTTTCCAACCGAGCGATTCTGTGTGTCTGTGTGGTGTATGATGAAACTCCTGGGCCTAAAGGGTCACAAGAAGGCTGGAAGCCTCCCCTCCTCCCGCTGCTTTGGGGGGCTGCCCTCAGCTGATGAAGTTTCTCACAATGAGATCTGCAGTGATCTCACTCGCATCTTTTTGGAATACTGTGTGCTCACATGAACACCCTTGCTCATCGTTTCAAATGTGAGTCAACTCGGATGTGCTCCAGCAACGGTGAGACAGAAAAACTTGTCCACCTCGCTGAGATGGGGATCAAAAATTGGGCAAAGTTTTAAGACGGAGAACGGAGGGATATTTTCTAAAATACCTGGGGAAAAACAATCAACCAACCAACCCAACAAACCCCCATCTTAGTGTCTCAAACCGCTTGTTATTCCTTAAAAATAAACCCTATACAATGACAGATTCTTTGCTTCAAAACATGTCCAAATTTTTACTTTGTACAGTTTCCCACACCCCCAGCTCCTCAGACTTCAACATTTAAGACCTATTAGACAGCAAAAGACCCTGCCTTTCCTCTGCTTCTCCACAAACTTGGGATAGTCTCGTGTTAAGGTGGTGAAGGTGGATCGTTTTAATTACATCGTCTCTCAGCAGTGCAAGTGCATTGCTTCCACCCCATCCTCTAGCTGGATGATGCTCTCCTGGTAACAACCAAGACAAGGGGTGTTTATTGCCTTTTCCCTAATCACACTATTCATTCTAGTACGGCTCTAATAATGCAGATGGCTCTCATAGCAGTTTACTGCCTCTCCAGAAGGTCTTTAATAGTAACAACTCTCCTACTGACATGTCTGCTTTTTGAGGCCAGTCCTGATGCAATGCTGAAAAAAAGCCATGCTGAGATACAGCCTGATTTGTAGAGCTGAGGCTACAGAAGATGAGCCCCCGCACCAGTGCTTCAGCTACGGCTGCAGCAAAGCACAGTGCACCCACCTGGCCACTTGTCTTTGGGTCCTCAAACAGGAAAACTTCAGTTATGCTAAGTCGGAGCATACATTTTACCCATTCATTCGCTTTACTAAAATATTATGATTGCTTAATACGTAATTAGATCCTGTCGTTATTAATTTTTTTATTAAGAGTTCAGTTAAAAATCCATCAGAGAGGCCGTTGCAGCTGGTGGCTTGGCTGAGCGGCCGCTGCACCTTGGCCCCGCAGCAAGTATAAGGAAATGAAATTTGTGGGGGAATGGAGCAGGGGCAGCTCAGGGAGGGGAGCCATCCCTCAAAGTGTGGCAAATGGCACTGAACCACGCTTGCTTTCTTCCCTGAAAGAACCTGTCATTGCAGGTGGTGGGACACTGGGATCCACTGCACGTGGCACGGACAGCACTGATGAGAGCAGGGTTGGATTTGGGCAGCTGTGATCATCAGATGTTTCCCTAGCTCCATCCCCACCATGGCACACACAGGATTCATCCCCTTTGTACTAAAGTTGGCCTTCTGAAAGGCAGCACTGCTCACAGTTCAACTAAGGAGCTTTTTTTTATTATTATTATTATTTTAAAGCCCTTTTTTATCGTATCAAAGGCACAAAGGACTTTTTCTTCTTTACCCTAAAATCCATCTAAATTTAGAGGAGTCTTTCATTATGAAGGACCAGCAAGGGAAGTATGCGAAGAATCTTTACTGATTGACTTAAGGTCACTAGCCAAGAAAGGGTGTCTCCAGCTTTGGTTTAAGATACTGTTTTGATCCACTAGGCCTGGAAGGGAAAGTCAAGCTATCTTTTATAGATAACCTTAATCTCATAAAGGCTCCCTTTCTTACATTCATCAAGCCTCCTTATCACAACAAACATAATTATTACTTAGTAAAAAACTGCAATTACTTATGCATATGCAACAAACACTGCGTATCAATTCCTGCGGGGAGGTGGCCGGGAGTTCCCATCCGTGGTGAGGCAGCTGGACCATCCCTCCGACCACTACACGTAACAGATCAGGAACATTTCCTCTCCTCAGGAAGGAGCCAGTGTCTAACCAAAGTCACACTGAAATCTAGTCCAAAAGCAGGGCTGACATCTCTAAACAACTGCACCCAACAAGTCTGTCATATAAAGTCACAGATATTTTATGATTACTTTCACACAAAATATTTGTGCACCTCAATTCTTCGAGAATTAATTTCCTACCAGCTAAAAACCAGAAGCTTGTCATAATATTTTTTTCACCGATTTTACTCTGTGTGGTAAGAGGAGACACGCTGCCCTCTTGTCCCCCCAGGGCAGCTCACTCCACACGTTTTGCCACCTCCTCTATTCTCGCCCACCCGCCATCCCTGCCCTGACACTCCCAGGCTAACCCAGCCCTGAGCATTTCTCGCTGACAGCAGTGATACTATTGCACAAAAAGCTTGGCTAAGGAGCAGCGTCAGTTGCCCAAGTGAATTCCTCACAATTAAAATTACAAAATAGAGCACTGCAGTTCAGGTGCCACCCCGACCTCACCCGGCTCCGCAGCCCACGCGCGCCGCTGATTCCCCAGTGCAGCAAGCGCTTCCCCTGCAGGCTCAAATAGCGACTGCCCGAGGCTTTCCTCACAGCTGCCTTTGAATGTACAGCCTGAAATGTAGCGGCACGACTCCTGTATTCCTTTCCTGCAGCAGCACAGCCAAGGCAGGACACGTGTTGCTCCGAGAGCGGGAGATGGGAATGGCTGTAGGAAAGCAGAGCTGGAGGCAGGGCTGGCGCGGGGCGGCGCAGGGCATCCTTACCAGGACTGAGTGCATCCCCGTGTAGAGCCGGCTGAGGCACACCAGTGTCGAAAACACGAACGCTGCTACCAGGCCTAGCTCGAACGGATACTGAAAGAAGGAGAGAGGGGGGTGAAATACACACATTACAGCATTATCCACTTTAGCATCAGTATATATCAGAAATAAACCAGCTAAGCACCCAGACTGATGTAAGGATCTCACGTTGGGAAGCGGATGGCGAGCTGTACTTTCCCAAAGACCTTGCATCGGCCAAAGTGCAATCCTGCTGGAAGGTCATTTTGTTATCTGTGGTGCCCATTTTTGTGAAGGTGTGTGGGAAAACCTGGCAAATAGACTTTATTTGCAGAGATTTCCCCCACCACATCCACCTGCAAATTCCACGTTAGTGCTAAAGACCTTAAGGAAAAAAGGCACAAGCGATGCCCAAGGCTGAACTGCAGTCTCAGCTCACCTACAGGGCACATGACAGCCACAGAGCCTGACCAGAAGCGTGGCCAGTAGCCCTGGGGCAGCAGGCTGTGAGGGAAAAATCAATGCCTGGGCTGAAACCACAGCTCAGCTATTAGAGCAGTCAGGACTGCTCTTCCCTGTGACACTTATGGTTTAATAATCTTCTTATGAAGCTGGTTTTGCTCAATACCCTCCTTGAGTTGCCTATGAACACAGAAAGAAGCGTTGAGATAAATCGACATTTAAAAAGGAAAAAAACCCCACACATTTAGTAAAGAATAAGCTTAACATATTAGCCCTTAAGCCAAACCATTCAAATCCTGAAACCAAGAGGGCTGGTGGACTCCTTTCAGTCCGTAAAGGATGTTTTTCTTTAAAAAATAAACCAACCCAAAATATAAATAAATGAAATTGATTCACCTGATTTGACACAAAGTCCCCATCTACTGCTGAGAGACTGATGACTGACCAGGGTGGCCATAGGTCACCGCAAAAATGCTTCTGTGGAAATTTTAAGCATAGCAACCCTTCTGACCCTTTCCCCCGGTGCACTCTAGCTCCAAAATAGAGAGCTCAGACCCAGCTGCAGATGTCACTCCCAGTTCATAAAACACTGCTTTTTCCTCACTTCTCTAAGCCTTTGAAGGATTTACGCTCGTTTTATTCCACCCTTAGCAGGCAGCCTGGGAGCTAGTCCAGCTCGGTAATTGATGACTAGGGCAGCTTTAGAAGATAGCAGCATAATGTACTGGTACATTTTTCCTTCTTAATAGAGGCAATTAGATCATTTAAATATTTTGCAGCAGCTTTGTTGTTTCATGGAGTTCCCAAGAAGCACAAGACAGACCATGACGAGCTGCGGGTCCCACTGGTAGCTCATCTATCGAGGAAGATGAGAAGTGCTGCTGACCAGGTCTTTTTGGCAGATTTGACGCATGGGATGGAGCTGGCCTTCCAGGGCTGACAAATATCCCATCTTAGGGCTCCTCCTCCCCATCCCCATCCCACTGCTAAGCTGCTCTGACCAGTTACCATACAACTACCAGAGAGCAGGAGAGGGCACCACTGCCTGCTCACTCATCCCGGTGCTGTGGGCAAGAGCAAAGCCCACTGCTTCACAGCTGGGACCAGATGAGTCTGGAAGCTGAATTAATTCAGAGATCTCAGTGCCACTCGGAGATCTCCATTTCCATGGGTTACAGTCCCAGGACACAGCACCATCCATCAAATGGGTGGTCACCTTTAGTCCTTGCACACAAGCTGGCACCACAGGGAGGACCCCCCCACCGCACTGCGGTTACACGGGGTTTATCTTGGAAATACACTTGGGAGGGCTGAGAAACACACTTAAAAACGATGCAGCCAGGAAGTTATTATTACTAGAGTACAGGAAACACGTTTGGATTCATAAAATTAAACAAAAATAATAATAACGGAGAAATTCGCTTCTGGGAAATAAACCTTTTAGAAAGATAAAAGGCTGACAACAAAATAATTATAAGATCTCCCCAGGCAGCCTACAGCTCCAGCACAGTGAAGCTGCTGTTGCTGCACTGACAAACAGGCTCTCAAATTGTGCTGCATGCTGTTAACCTAACCCAGGTCAGAGCCAGAGGATTTCCAAGGGTGCTTTTCTTGCATCACACAACAACCAGGTGACACAGAGCCCCCTTGGTCTCCCTGGGAGCCGGCGTTTCCCAGTGTACAGTGTCAGCTTGGCAGGTGTGAGGTGACCCCAAAACGCTAACACTGGGCATCTTTCGCAGCAGCACCGCAGCTCCCTCCATGGTCACCCCACACGCGAACACACAGCGAACCTGCCAAACCACTGCAGGGCAGTGCAGCACTCCTGCGGCTCTGAGCGGGGCTCGGGCTAAAGAAAGGACATTTCTGCTAAATTTCTTCTTGTGTCTATTACTGGCCAGCTACGGGTAACTACAGGTAGAAACACATGTCTGAAAATAAATACAGAGCTCCTCTGGAAGTGGCGACAGCTTTGGATTTGCTAGTTTTCTGCAGCTTGCTAGAAGCACACACGTGCTTTTCCTTTTTCTACTTCGTTTTGGTTTTTGGTTTGTTTTTTTTTCTTTCTGTACCCCCTACCTTGTACTGGTTCACGGTTGCGATGAGAAAGGAGAAGGAGATGGCGGTGGCCGCCATGGCGTGGGTGGAAGGCATCCCGTACTCCGCATCTGTCCGCATTTCCAGCTTGACAACAGGTGGCGAGAGGGGCCGGGGCCACTTCAGGATGTCCTTGGAGACCTGCCCTATGTACATCACTATCTGGGGAGAGGAAAGGCCACAGGGCTGTCAGTCAGCACGGGCAATCCCTACTCAGCCCACCCAAGAACCACCTCTATTTCCCTGCTTTTTCCTGTAAAATCCACCACCCCAAGTGTAGAATTTTTTTCCCCTGAATTATTAATGGATTTTCCATTATCCTGGTCAGCAAAGGATGTGGCAGTTTTACTGCACCATGTTGTAACCTGATCAGAAGTGGGAGCATCCCTGAAGAGATGCATCAATGCAGGGTGGTGTGAGATGGACAGCTAGCTCCCACCCCACACCAGAGAAGTTTAGGTTTCCTCCCTATACCTTACAACCCTTCTCCTGCAAATCAAACAGTTGTAAGAGAATTTTTTCCTCAACCACCTTCAAATCACCGCCTTGCCCAGCCGCATCCCTCCCAGCTCCACGCAGCAACTCTCCAAGGGCAGCACCAGCAGCTCCCAGTCCACCCACCACACACGGCGCTGCAGGAGCTGTGCCAGGACACCCCACCAGTGACGGGAATTCAACAACAACCTCGGCATCCCTGGGGATGGAGGGAGGCAACAGAGAGAAACTGGATGAGCAGCATGAAGCACCAGTTCGAACTCCCCAGCAACACAGGGCTTCTGTGCACTGCTTGGGACACAATCAAGGGCTCCATTAATTAGCTACAGAGCACTGCAACACAGTGATTTTTGAGGGGAATTGTTGCATTCTCAGGTCCCTGCAAGCAGTAGCAATGGGAAGAAGAGGCAAAGCTAACCAGCAGCCCTAAGAGGTGCAGCCCATCCAGCAGCAGCACCCACTGTGCTGATACCCTCTGCTTCTCAGCACTCCCTTCCCAAAGGCAACAGGCTCTCAGCATCCACAGTGAGGAGGATGTGAACGAAAATCAGCCAGGCTGTCCCTGCGGGGTGTATTTGCTTTCTGTTGCCATCCTCCTCCCTTTGGATAGTGCAGTCAGACATAGACAAAGCAAGCGCTATGAAAGAAACCAAACCTTTTTTCTTTTCTTTTTTTTTTTTAAATACAAAAATCAGGTTAACTGGCATCTGCCATGGAAGCTCAGCTGCTGCGCGAGACGGCTCACTCTTCTGCTTCTCACGCTTCCACTGGCAAAGGAGGCGGCTTAAAATAACATCCTACATCCATCCACGCTGGTGTTCGCCATATGCCAGAACAGGAACACGATCATCTGCTGCCATATTTGTCATCAGCAACATTGCACCCCTTTCTCTCCCACCAGCCACATTAGAAGAAAGACATCAGGATTAGCAAATCAGGACCAGGAAAAAGCCAAACTGTGATGTTCCTTCATCCCCTCTCCTCAGCAAAGCCCATGCCATGGCGAGCGCTAGGCTTACAGCCAGCACCAGAGCCTGGAATAGTGGCTGCTGGTGCCTCTGCGTCCTTTATCCCTCATCACGTGAATCACATCACCGCCTCATTATCGGCACTACCTGCGGCACGCCTGGCTGCTCCCACTGCACCCTGATGGACGTGGCACAGGGCAGTCAGCAAACACCTTGCCCTGCACTCCTCACGGCAAACAACGGCTTGAGGAAGAAGCAGCTTAAAGAAACCACTGCGTGCACTATTTTGGCTAATGCCAGCAGTTTCCAAATGGATGCAGGCACATCTTTGGAAGTGAATTGAATTCCAGGGTTGAAAACAAAATCACTCTCTCTGACAGAACAGCAAACACTGAGGCCACTGTTTGTGATAGCATCTGAAAGGCAAGGTAGGACAAGCCAGTTTATCAGCAGTCCTCTATAATAACGACTTCCACTTGTAGAAGTATTATTAGCACTAGTATGTAGGAGTATTACAGAAAGGGAAATGAGTCATCTTTGAAATGAAGGCTATGCTAGGACTTCTCTGACGGTGAAAAGCAGGCTGAATGCTGGAGGGGGTACGGGTAAGCAAAAATACCAGGCATCCTCACAACACCTTCCTTCCTGGCAGTCCAGATTAAATTTTGACTCTTCTATTTTTTAAAAACACGTTGTACAAGCATGCACAGCAACAAGAAGTGAGACAACCTCCATAAAACATGAAGCGGAGTCCAGAATATGTTCAGACTAAGCACCGATCTCTGAAGCACCAGACCTTTGCCTTCAGCTTATCTGGGTCCCGTGCACATAGTTTTACACACAACACCCTGGATTATTTGGCAGTTGTGAGTGCAATAAAACATCCCCCATCAGCTGAACTGGCAGGTTTCCCCGAGAAGACGAAAGACGACAAGTGCACCACTGCTAAAAGCCACCCAGCAAAGGTGTTGATCGGGGCCGGCTGCCTTCCCCACGCTGCTTGCAAGCAGTTGGAGGAGTCCAGGGTTGCTCAGGCACCATGCGGGCTCCTCAGCTCGCAGCACGGCAAAGAGCCCACAGCTCCTGGAGACGACCCAGCTGGGAGCTGCACATCCCTCCCCAACCCAGAGCACCAGCCAGCCCGCAGCTGGTGATCGAGGGCAATGCCCCTGTGAGTGCACCAGGCACAAACAGGAAAAGAAAAAGAGGGGAAAAAAAAAAGGTAGGAGGCCACTGTAGATGTGGTCACTGCGTGACAAGTGTTGTGCAGAAACATGCAGCAATATATTTAATTGCAGGATACATCTGAATTGCACTCTACTGCAACACTCATCTGAGGATGGCATCTGCCTTGGTTAAGTGGTATATTCTCTCTTAAGCCACATTTCATTGTCTTACTGACTTTATTTCTCTGTCATTTTGAGTTTACTCTCTAACATTCCCAGGAAAGAAAAACAAGCAGCTTGAAAGTTTTAGCCTGTTACCAGCTTTTTTCAACCTAGCAGATGAGAAAACCCCTGTAACAAACACTGCCAGCCATAAGCACTGAAACCACTGGAAAGAAGGAGAAGGGAGATAGAGAGGTGAGTGTGAGGGACAGGCTAAAAAGCAACACTGAACTAAGCCTCACCTACACTTGACTTGAATTACCTATTTGTGCAATGCCAAGCTCTTTCAAGGCCCTGGAAACAAATTAAGCCTGGGCAGAAACTACCACACCACACTTCCCCCGGGAGTGCCCTGTCAGGGGAAGCAAAGGGTCTCTGCTCTACCTCTGTATTTGCCAGTCCTACAAGCTGCCATGGTGACAAATGCCACAATGAAAGGAAGGATGGCAAAAGCAAGGTGGGCCATGGCACAGGAGAAAAGGTGTGGTGAAGGGGTCACTAACAACCACCGTGCACATGTGTAACGCAGGGCAACGCTGCTTTCCCTTCTGTATTGAGGTGTGTGCACACACACAGGTAAGGAAAAGCTGCTCACATACTGCTGCCACGATAAAGAGCCTCAGGAAATGGTATCAGCTCTCTAATATTTGCAGCATCACTCGACAGTGACACGGCAGCACCAGCTGGAGATGCAGGAAATAAAACGCATCCCCCCAGTCCCTTCTTACAAAGCCCCATGGACATGGCCCATAGCTGAGGGCTGTCCCCTGCCCCTGGAGCTCCCTGGCTGGCTGCCGCATCCCCTGCCCTGCCTCGGTGAAACACAAACCGAGTGCTTTATTTGTGCGGCTGAACCCATGAGCTGCATTTGCAGGCAGAGGAGAGCCCAGGGCTTGGTGAGGCTTTTCCTCCCAAGGGCTCCTGCCCTGTGCTACAAGGGAACAGGTCACTCACGCCTTGCTCAGCCCCATGGTGAAGCAGTATGCAGCCTGGCTTACTTGAGCCACACTTGCAATCTGGGGTACAGCTACCCTGATCCACTCAGAATTGACCCAGTCTCTGCTGTTACTGCATTGCCAGGTGCTACCACACCAGCTCAGCACACCGAGGCCGTGCTGGGAGCACCATGCGGCACAGGCAGTGCCAGAGCTGCTGTCCCTCCCAGCATCCCACAGTTATAACCACACACAGGGGCCAAGGCAGCAACCCTGACACACGAGGGCATCTTTCTAACCCCCTGCCCACACCACCATTATTCAGTTTGGGATGTTCTCAATTTCCAGTGCTATGCAGATGACTCTGAAGCCTTCCGAATTAAATCTTTACAACAAATGCAAAAAGCATTTAAAAATTACCTGGGTAAAGACTCCTTACTCATTTTACACACTTCTTTCCCACACAGAGAATTCTTCTGTACTGCTGTAAGCAACTTTAAAACAAGACTTTCCTCAGACTCTGGTGCCCACCGGTACTGCTGGCGTGGCCTGGGCTGCGTGGGGGTAAAGGCAATCCTTTACAGCCAAGGCATCAGGTGAAGGAAAGGGAAAGTTTTATTGCCTCTATGGGTCAACAGCATCACATTTTACTACATGAATGCAATTAGCAGTTGCTATAGCAGCGCAACAGCCTTTTACCTCTGACTTGCTCTGAGTCATATACTTGGTCCATCTCTAAAAATACATCCTCACCTGAGGCTTTGCACTGCGGCAAACATGACAAATCTATCTTTGTGTTTTAAAAGATCTTGCTTTAGTAAACAATGATAAATCAAACTCAAGGCACTGGCATCCACATCGGTCCAGGTGCCAGCATATCTGCCCCAACATCTGTGGGGGCACCCTCTGAGGTAAGGGGCTGTTCCCCTCCCTGTGGGCATCAGAGTCCCATAATGTGACCTGGCTCCTTGATATTCGTATAACTCTGGTATTGCTTCAGTAACTACAGAAGTGGGTTTGCTCCTCTGAAGGTGTTGCCTGGCATTGTCAATAGTTTTCCCTCACTACTCTCGTGGTCGCTGTGGGCAGCAGTTAAGTGGCAGGACATGGGCTGTGCACAGGTTTACCACCACAGTGCAGGTACGTGTGAAGGCACACAGACACACACAGCCAAGCCAGCTCTGCATGCAGAGGCCCAGGGCTGGTGCCTCAAGGTGCAACTCCCCCTTTGGAACATTTACCTGGCAGCTGCCCAGACCCTGGGTCTGGTGGGTTTTAGGAGACAGGCCCAGTGCTGCAGCTGGGCTGCATGGCACAGCCTCACCCCCTGCCACAGCCTCTGCATGGGGACGGACACCCCCAGCTGCTCCACAGGT